CCCCAAAACCCCAAAACCCCAAAACCCCAAAACCCCTTAAATCGGAGGTTTGTTGATAAATCTATTAACTATTCTCTTTCAAATACTCCAGCTGCTCCCATTCCTGTTCCGATACACATGGAGACGACTCCATACTTCTTATCTATTTTTTCGAGCTCGTTGAAAAGAGTGACAATCTGTCTGGCGCCTGTAGCACCCAGAGGATGACCGAGGGCAATAGCACCACCTCTTGGGTTTACTTTCTCTTCAGGGATGCCAAGTTGCTTGACGCTGTAAAGAGCTTGACTAGCAAAGGCTTCGTTGATCTCGTAAACATCAATGTCATGAATATCAAGACCTGACTTCTTTAAAGCCTTTGGAATAGCAACAGCTGGTCCGATACCCATGATTTCTGGGTCTACTCCAACTACTGAATATCCCAGAACTCTTCCCTTGATTGGTAGGCCTAGTTTTTCAGCTGTAGATCTTTTGGCTAGAAGAACTGCAGCTGCTCCGTCTGTCAATTGAGAGGAGTTTCCAGCAGTGGTGGAACCACCTTTCTTGAAAACAGGTTTCAATTTTCCAAGCTTCTCTGCATTAGTTTTTCTAACACCTTCATCTTTCCCAGCGGTAAGAGTCTTCTCATTACCTTCCTTGTCATACACAGTTACTTCCAATGGAGTGATTTCCTTTTGAAGATCTCCATTTTCTTGAGCAGCAACAGCTTTAGCCTGGCTGCTTGCAGCAAAAGCATCCTGCTCTTCTCTAGACACGCTGAATCTCTCAGCAACGTTCTCAGAAGTTATTCCCATTGGGATTTGTCAATTTTTAGCATCCTTACAAGTGGCTACTTGCTTACTGAGGTGGGGAGGATTGAAAGCAGTGCTGAAGTCAAAGTGAGACATACTTTCTACACCAGCTCCAATACCAATATCAATTTGACCAGCTCTGATAGCATTTGCAATTGACATAACTGCTTGGAGTCCAGATGAGCATTGTCTGTTAATAGCACATAAAGCAGTTGTTTCTGGAATTCCTGCAAGGAATTGAGCCATTCTGGAAGTTGTTGCTCCTGCACCTGGTTGGAGACAGTTACCAACAGTGATATCCTCAATCTCTTTAGGATCAACTCCACTTTCAGTAACAACTGATTTCAATACATGAGAGAGCATGAGCTCGACTGCTGTATCCTTAAAAGATCCCTTAGTAGCCTTGCACAATGCTGTTCTTGCAAAACTGACGACTACCACATCCTCAGGACTCTTATCAGAAGCTACCATGAGGCCAGCTATACAGTAAAATGAGATCTCTCCAGCAGTAAAGCAAAAACATACCTGTGGTGTTTCAGGCCGATAAATGAGACCTTAAGATTCTTAGTCTTTTGGTGGAACTCTCCATTTTAATTTTTAATACTACAAATTTATTTTAGTCTCCACGTCAGCATTGGGGTTTTGGGGTTTTGGGGTTTTGGGGTTTTGGGG